CGTGTGACCTCTGACACAATTCAGACCCTTGGATGGGAACCTCTTTTGCACCCTCCTTATTTCCCTGACATTAGCCCTTCTGACTATCACCTATTTTTAAGCCTAGATAATCATCTGCGAAATTGACAGTTTAGAAATAGAGAGGTTATAGAAACGGAATTAGGGAAGTTTTTCAACTCTAAAAATCGTGACTTTTATAAAAATGGAATTTATAAGCTTGTTTCCTATTGGGAACAGGTTATTGAATGTGAGGGTGGTTATTTTGATGAATAAATTGTGTTATTTCCTATACATTTTTATGTTTGTTTTCTTTCAACAAAAAACGACAAAACTTTTTTGGTTACCTGATACAAACACCACATTCTCTATTGAAACTTGTATTTTTGATAATGATATATAGTTCCTGTTGTGAGAAGGTTTGGCCAGCCCTGGTATAGTAAGTGAGAAGTACAGTTATAAATACTATTAAGCAAATATTCATATTAGAACATTTTTGTGATATCAATATAGTTGTGAAATAACAAATCCGAAAATATTATCAGTATATTTTGTTTTTTGATTATATGGAATGTAATGAAATGTAAGTTAAAAGGAAGTATTCCCTTTTCAAAACAAATTTTTAATGTAAAATATTTTGTTTTTAATCATTGAATAGTCATTGACTGTAAAAAAGTTCAGAGAATGTTTCAAGCATTAAATAGAGTAATATAAAAACACTGCTTTAAATTGTTTATAATTAATTTTTTTGAAATATTACACACAAAATACTTTATAAATTCATATGGTTTCTTAATGACTTGTAAAATTGAATGTAAAATAATCTTTCTTTTTTACATAGGATTCAGTTGGCCATCATAAATTAAGACAAAATAAAGAAATGAAGGAAAGACAAGAGTAAGTACAGAGTTTTGTTGAAAAAATCACTTATGTCTATTAGATAAGTTCTCTTGTGTTGATACAGACATTGATTATTGCTATTCAGAAAATAAACTTTTATTATAAACAGCTTTTAATTACATTTTAGTAAATGGTTACATTATTATATGTCTTAATTAGGAAAAATGAATTCCTGTCATAATTTATGAATTAAAATCTTAAAGATGTATGTTCTACTGTTGATAAATCTGTTCTGTCTCTCTCTATATAAAATACAATAGAGCATCGATTATCCGACTCAATTGGGGACTGGGGTTGGTTGGATAATTGAAAAGTCGGATAACCGAAAAGTATGAAAAAATCCATTATTAGTGTAGTATATTATTATATCCCATGTAATTAGTATATTAGTATATTGCTATTAACCTACTTTGTGTTGAATTTTTATCAATGTTAAGCCTAACAAAAATTTTTTTAAAATAATAATCGTCGCTATTGTATCGTTAAAAATTAGAAAATTAAGCCTCGTTTAAATACTGGTTCCCTTTCATGGTCGAGCCAGTGTTGCCAGCTAAAACATGTAAAAATAATAATAAAGTAGCCACGACGTAGCCAAATATTGTAGCGCCACATCACTAGCGGACATTTGAATTTGCCGACTAGAACGCGGTCGGTTAACCGAGGTGACGGTTAATCGGGGGTCGGATAATCAATGCTGTACTGTACTTCTTAGCTTAAAATTGTTGCAACATCGTTTTTTGCCCCCCCAAATAATGGCAACATTGGGAATCAATGAATTGTCATGAAATTTTTGAACAAGTGAACAAAGACTGCAAGACAAGTAGTATCTATTTTATATATAATACACACCATGAATTTACTGTCTCGTATATATCACACATGGCAATGATCAGTACCTGCTGGAGATCACCACCGGTTCATGGCACTTCTTGGGCATACTGCCACTGTTACTTACCTCATGACTCAAGGAAGCTCGTGCATTGTTTTGAAATTGTTGGACAATGTGGCTGGGACACTATTGCTTAAAAAAAAAAATCAAAATTTGGCATCTCCCACCTTTATTGAATGATGACCCGGTTCTGCTCGACCACAATATATAGATAAAAGTGCAGCAAGACATTTATGGACAGACTTTATACACAGATAAAGAAAATAGAAATAAGGCATTAGGAATTGCCAAATCATAATATTTTTGTTATGAGTAGTATGTATTGGGAATAACGAGATAAAAATCCCTAGTACTTTTATAAAATTTGTTTGGAAACTTTATTCGTAAAAAGGAATGCATTGCTTAAGATTACAAGAGAAAGATATACTAGTTTTGAGTTATGAAAATATTTTTAATAATTATAGTTCATTATGACAAAATTATAATTTCTATTACATATTCTGTTATTATTTATTTAACTTTTAACATACTTCATAATTTTTCTACATAAGAATTTATTCAGAAAAGTTTAATATGCAGTCTTATGGTATATAAAACACATATACAGTATTTTTATTAATTACTAACTTGTTACATCCAGCATTATTAATTGTAAATTTGAAAAATTTACAATTAATTAAATGGGTAAAACCCATTTTAAGAACATCAGAATGCCTATAAATTACATGGGAAATATATCCTTGTAAATAGTGAGTTTATAGAAAAATTAGTTTGGTTTATTTGGTTACAGCAATGCAACATGTGGATGATCTGCCAAGGGAGTGCCTTCCAGCAGGACTTTTATGGGAAATTGGCCTCTATTTAAGTGTTACAAACATGAAGAAAACCTGGAAGACTCCACATGGTCATGGGTTTGCACGTCTCCAGTGGAATGGTGAACTACCAGTATTCTGTGTTTTTATCCACTCAGCTGCTGATGGGTACTTATAACAATTAAGAAAATACCATTCACAAATGAAAAATCCTGAGTTGTTAGGTGTGAGAAATATATATACTTTGTAGTTTTCACAGTGTAACACTTTTGCCTCCACAAAGGTGAATGCTATGTGCTACCTGTTGCACTAATGATATAGCATATCTACTTCGTGCTATATTGTTGTTGTAGTTGAGTGGATATAATATTTATTTATTTATTTTTAAAAAATTATATGTAGTTTATTATTTTTAAATTGTGTTGCCAATAGATGGCACTATATGTAAAGACAGCAAATAAAATGTAGACAGAAATTAATTGATATACAGAAATTCAATCCATATTTTGGGGTGGTATGCACTACATTATCTAAGTTAGAAGTACATTAGTGGTAACTGCAGAGTTTTGTACCTATAGATTAAACAGTCTATGAGTGCGTAGTGAACAAACATCCTCATTTATTTATATATATATATACACCGTATTTACTTGAATATAAGATGATTTCACATATAGGACAAGGTGTGACTTTAAAGATCAAAATAAAGAAAATTAGATTTATTAATACAATTCTAATTTTATTGACTATTGAACACAAGACTATGTTATTAATTAAACACTTGGCATTTTTCCTCTTTATTCAGTTGATAGTTAATTAATAACACAGCCTTGTGTTCAATAGTCAATAAATATGAAAACACGGTTTCAGAAAACAAATTCTAATTTTATTTCATTTAATAACAAATAAATATCAAATGAACACAAATGCATACATTGTCCCACAAAAATTACTGGCATTTTAAACTACAAGGAAAAATCTTGTAAAATTGACAACATAATTTGTTCATGTAAAGCTAGACAATTGGGAACCTTTTTTGCCAATTCTTAACAGTCGAATTCACTCTTCATTGATTACACTTATGAGTTTCTTTGAATTTCCAAATAATCATCTGTTTTCATTTGGGAATGGATTAAAACTTATATCAGGCTCCCATATAATTTTGGAATTCAGTTCAAAAGCTTTGCTTTTCCTATTGCTATTCATCTTTTTACTCCTGGCAATACACAAGAACGATTCAAATGATCCAGATAAAATACTTTTGTTTTTAAACACAAGAAGGTAAGAATCTGGTAAAATATGTAAATACATAGTTTACAAAAATTATATAAAAACTCAAAGAATCCTTCACTTGCTTGTATAGAATGACCTAGGGTTTTGAAGCAGTGAAAAATGGATAAAAACCTCGTCTTACATGCAAGTAAATATGGTATATATATTCTGAGTCATTTTGTAAATAAATAGTCAAATTTAAATAAATTTTAATGTTTTCTATATTTCTGTTCAAAATTTTTAATTTTAATGTTATAAAATGTTATCTTACAAGTCAGTCAGATGCTGATCAATACAGCTTAATGTATTGATATGACATAGAATGTGAAATAGATTTTATAATTAGACTCCATGTGCTTGTGAAACAATTTAGCACACAAGAAATTTTTAAGAGTTTATTGATAAGTATCTAGGCATATTTTCAAAATTAATGCTGTATTTTTAGGAATGTAAAAATGAAATGATTTTGAATTACATTGTATTGTCTGGTATGTGTGTGTCAGAATACAAACATTTTTGGGTTAAGGATGGCTTCTGAGTCTGAAGATGCTTTTGATACCATCCTTATGAAGAAAATTGCAGTTCTGAATTTCTTAAATTGGATATTATTATTTGTTAACTTGTATAATTTATCACAAGATTTGTCAATTGGACAATATTCACAAGCAGAATATTTTGCTTAAATATTATAAAATTAAAGGAAATATAAAATGTAAAAAATTTGTAAGTGTTTAATTGTTCCATAGAAAAACAATACAATAAAAATTATTTAAATTCTACATAAATAAAGAAACCATCATCATCATTGTTAATGATACTTTAACTGTATATTTTCCCTCTGACTAACCCTTCTCACTTCATTTCATCTCTTTGAGGATATACCACTGAGTAATGCCTCCTATCCCCCTATAAATATTGAAATATTGTATATCTATAATATATCTATCTATTGTACTATACTGTACAAGGTGGGTAGAGAGTAACTAGGCATTGAGAAATTGCTATAATTGCTATATTTCTAATGCAGTGATGATGAAAATTATTTGTCATGTACCTTATTAAATGGAAATATAGGTGTACATCTTAAAATTCAACGTAGGCACTGGTTCCATCCATCTTGGGATTGTAATGTGAACAGATCACTTTTCTGTATGCCTCTCGGTTACTGCTCGCACTGTTGACATGCGTATTATAAAATTTCATTTATTGACGTACAGGCATACACAAATTTTATGATTGCATTATTGTTATTATTGTTACAAAAATTAGTGATTTCTCAATGTTTAACTACTTTCCACACACCCTGTATATTTATATAAATATAATTGGAAATTTTTCTTGGCATTATGCAGAATTGTCTTTAATGAATTGCATCCATAATCTATAATGAAGTTCATTAAGATTCTATTTATAATTATTGCTTTTTGAGAATGTTAAGTTAGAATAGTTAGAATATGAATCTTATTAGAACATTTTGTTTACAGAATAATACTAGAAACATTGTGCATGTGCTAGAATGTGGTGATTACACAGAGTCATGTTTATCAGTTCATTCATTTAATAGTATTCACTGTCTCTCCTTTGTTGATTCCATTTGGGGTGAATTGTGCAGAAACAGTGTCGGATTGTCCGCTGGGCAATTGAAGCACGTTGCCCGGTGGGTCCCAAATTACGTAGAAGGGCTCAAATCTTTGGTGTCAACGGGCTCCGGAAGGTCTTAATTCGCTACTGCTTGAAAAAGGAACAAAGGAATTGAAGTAACTGACAGCATAGATTCGGTCAAATGGTCACATATTGGAAGCTAAATTATACAAAATGGACCAAAAACATACGATTGTATGTTGGAGGTGGTCACGAAGAGAGATTTTACTGTAATATCTTTTTAACCAGTTCAGATTGTTTTAAATTAATTCCACATAATGTTGTTTAAACATTTAATATATGCGGATGGCCGAGCGTTCAAGGTGGCATCCTACTGCTCTGGGGGACCCGGGCTCGAATCCGAACGGGTCGAAAAATCCCCAGGAATTTTTCAGGGGTGGTCCGTTCGGATATGTCGGGCCCCTTCCTCATCGCCCGGCAGCCTCATTGTGGGCCTTGCCGAACCCATAACGGGCTTACATAAAGAGGTCCTCTTAGTGCTCACAGGGCAGAAAGAGTTTAAAAAAAAAAAAACATTTAATATGGTATTAAAAATATAAATGTCGTGAAAAATTGCAAATTATTAAAAATCGTTTTTAATAGTACTTTTTATTCTTTGCAGATATTGGGAATATATAATGTACAAAATTTAACATGTAATTAGCTTTGAAATGTTTGCAAGTTCAGCTTGTAAAGCTTAATAACTTAACACATTAACTAATTTGATAATGATGTTTTCTCACATTACTTAATTTAAACATTTTTTATTTTAGGTATGAAGAAAAATATATGATGAGAATGCCATTAACTAAAAAGCAAAAGGTAATTTTTTAATCATAAATTACACTAAGCATTTCATAACAATGCATCACATATAATACACTTACACTAACTTCAACAAAGTTTCCATAGAGTTCGACGTACAGGTCGTACAGTTTTAAAATAGTTTTGAATCGAGGCAAAGGTACATACGTAATGATGAGGCAACACGACAAAACCGAAATCGTGCACGTGGAACAGATTGCAGAATGGGAACTCGCCACACTAAAGTTGCGCGTGGCCTTCTGTGCTTCCAGTCAGGTTAGAGGAAATACACAACGGTAAAATTTCCGGCGGAAAAATTAAATTTATCTGTTAAGAACATGTTTTCTGCGGTCTTTCTCGATAAAGTTCTCTAACTAGAATTTACGTGTATTATTGGTGCGTGCATACCAAACGCGCATGCTCGTGCAACCCACAATATGCTACGGCCTTAAGAGTTCTTTCCGAAACGGGCAAACCATTTCTGCGTGCCACATTAGGCATATTTGACTTTAAAAAATTTATATGGGCCAAAGTTTTAAGATATAAAAAACAGAAAATAACTTCATACTCCAAATTGAGTCTATAGTTTTTACACACACAAAAAAAAAACATTATATATAGTTTGTTTTTAACTTAGTTTTAAATTTTTAGTATGTCTTATTTTTCTCTGTGTAAAAAATATTAACCAGGAAAGAATTTTAAAATACACACCTACAAAGATACTTTTTAAGGAAATGAAACGAATATACGAGGTGTTGCAAAAATACAGGCCACTTCGAGATTTTGAAATTATAAATTCTTATTACAATTAGTCAAAAACTAGTGACAGGAATAAATGTAAATATAAAATAATTCCTTATTTATTTTCATTTTAATGGACTCTCATTGGGCCCGGAAGTCTAGCAAGAGCTATGGCAAAGCAGCCAGAGAGATCTCGTCGCGTTATAGCCAAGTATATTAAAGTTGATGTGCAATACGGAAAGAAGAAAAAAATAACAAGCTGGACGGCATTCCAAGTCGATGAAGCAGAAATCGGCACTTAACCGAGAAATAATAACACACAAAGGCCCGACGACGATCGCAAATCCACACTTTCATGGGTGGTTAATATCAACAAAACGTCTAGGGTATAAACAAGCGAAGCATCACTAATAAAAAAGGTATCCACCTGTGGCCAAGTGGTCTTCGTATCTTGAGCACTGGTTCGGTCGTGGGTTCGCGCCTCGCTCGGACGGGCTGGCCACGTAGCGTTTTCCAGGTTTTCTCCACGTCTGTAACGTCTAAATAGGGGCCAGTTTCCCTTAAAAAGACCTCCCGGAAGTCATCCCCTCTAGACAGATCGCCCAAGTTTTGCGTTACCATAACTTAACAAACAACCAAACCAACAAAAAAGACCAAAGATAAATTGTCTCGGACTCCTTTGGACTGAGGAGAAAAAAAATTCAATTTGGCACGATGTTAGGAGGAGTGGTGTCTTCGTTTACCGAGCGTGGGTGAGGAGAGAGATCGGAAATTTAGCTTTGGTAAATGGCCCGACGAAAGCAGTCGGGCGTCGAAACCTCTGGGATGCGCATCTTCCGCCATTTGGAAAAAAACTGTGCAGTAATTGCAAGAAGATAATGTACCTATCTACAATGCAAACTCTATCGGTGGTTACCAGATAACGGTGCTCGAGCGGATGATCGGTCTGGCTATTCCCCCATTTGAATCCCATAGAAAATCTACGGGGTCTAATAGCTAGGGAAGTGTACGGAGGAAAACCGTACCCGGTGCTGAAGAACTCAAAGCCGCAACTGTATTGGAATAAGATACAAAATACGATAAGGACGGACGCGTATTTCACAAAGTAGCAAGATTACGATAGAACAAGTGTGGTAACACAGCTTTCAAAATGTTTAGAGTAGAAAGTTCGAGTCCCCAGTCCAATATAATTGACGAATCTCTACTCTGAAATGTCGTAGACATTGGCTATTAAACGCTATATTCCTTCCGGATGTGTTTTATGTTTTAGAGCATAGTTACAGTGTTACTAGTCGGTCCTCACTCTTCGAGTGCCTTCAGTTCTTAATCTCGTTATAACGATTACTGATCTTTGGTCAAATACCTCCCTGTCGAATTTTCCATAATTGTCGGATCTCTCGTAGTTTATTACGGAACCGTTCGTTTCACAAATTTTGAGTGTTTTTCTAATATCCTATTTTCGGACGGTTACACTCTTACCAGAATAAAATGAAAATTAGATTTTTTCCAGAACAAAGTGTAGAGTGCGCCAGAAAATCGGAACGGTCATATAGATAACCTATAACCTTTCTCGACAATATTTTAATTTAATTAAATACAAGGACGGCGCGTAACTCCGCAGTAAAAACGGAAACCGGTTTATCGCGCTTCGTTTGGCTGATCCGACAAAATTATCACCGTTAGATTGGGCTACGTAAGAATTTACGTAGTGCGTAGACGAATTAAACGCGGTCGGATCAACCGCGGACTATTACGGAAGAAATTGTAGCGGATAAGATCTCTGTCTGCTTCCATTTTTACTAAATAAAAATCCCCATACTTATGCCAAGATTTTGAATGGAGTTACGTGTACGAATAAAGGGACGTGGGTATTACTGGCCGATTGGCTCAGTGACAAATGCTCGAACGGAAGTGGGCCAAAAAAGCCATCTTTTTGGGTTTTTTAGATTTTTCATTACTAGAAAAATCCAAAATTGCAAAAAGTAAAATATGTTGTGCATTACGAAGTATCGGAGTTTTGAACGGTCAATTGTCTCAAACGTCTGCCCGTTTTTAAAGATACGTATTATTTTAAATCGAGAATGTTTATTTTTGCCTTATCGTCAATTATTCTCTAGAATTTTTAATATTGCATTTATGTAATCGGCATGCACAAAAGTAATAGGATATTATTAACTCGCAATACGGATGTGGAGAGTTGCAAAGTGTTTGAAAATATCGGGTTTGAACTGCAAAGAGGACCACCGAACCATTACTATTTATCAGTGGGAAATTAAGGTAGTATATATACAGTTTTACGAATTGTGTGGTTTACATTTAATTGCAAAACTGCTCAAATAATAAATTTATCTTTAAAGTAAATTCACGCGAAACGTATCATTTGCGTATATGAGGGATGGTCGAAAGAAACGCGGCAGAGGCCAACGGAAATCGACTTAGGCGTTAATGATAGCCATTATCGGTGACATCGGACGACGTTGGACGAATTCCTCGGGACGGGATCCAACCCCATTCCAAAGGCATTCCCACACCGCGGCATCCAACTAAAACTAGCCGTTTCTCAGAGGAGCGCTAGCGTCCTTAGAAGAGCAACGTGGAACCATGGCGGTATGGCAGAAAATTCCGAAGAATGCCACCACTTTTGAGGCGAATCTATCGCACGATATTGTATTGGTCGAAAATCGGACGAGTTTCATCTTGAAAATGTTGGCACTCCCGTCGCAAAAAAAAAGGAATTTCCGGGCCGTCAAACGGAATACTAGTGTTCGAAACTTTGGTGTTTATATGTTATTTTTTAAAAAATTCCGCTGATCAAAGTTACTCGAAGGCTAGCGGTGACTTTGATGATACATTTATTTTGACGTATTAGAGTTTCTGGCAGGGTGGCATCGATCTCTATCGACATTTTTGGAAAGGAAACACACCGCATACGTTATATTTGAAACAAACACGTACGGGTTAGGTCTGCGTACTATGGTGTTTCTATAGCAGAGTTCCAACAAACTATTGGAACGGAAGGAGTCACAAAATTTCAGGGAACAATATGGTAGAATAACTTTTACATTATTAATGATAATAAAATTGCGTGTGTCGCCACCCGTTGCCACATTTTCTTATAAAAAAAACCTATATTATGAATTATTATAAAATGACAAAATGCTTAATTTTCAGGGTCCGGACGCGTTTTATAATTGTAAATACTAATAACCAGTAAAATCTTCATTTAAGTCCCACTCCCTCTCGAGATATGACACTTGACTACCCATTATCTCCTTGCCCCCTCGACCTTTAACCACCAAAATTTAATAGCATCGATGCCCCTCCACGTACGCAAGCCACCGTGCCTAATTTCGTTACGTAAGCTTTACCCATCCCAGATATTAAACTAATAGACACCAATAGAAATAAACATGGAATTTTTGGAGGGTTGGCATTTTTGGGTACGGAAGGTCTCAAAACGTGGAGATATGTGAAAAAAACAACAAGGAAGGTTTGTTTGTTTAGTTAATGCAATGCAACACTTGGCCGATCTGCCTAGGGAGTTGCCTTCCGGGAGGCCTTTTTAAGGGAAACTGGTCCCTATTTAGGCGTTACAGACGTGGAGAAAACCCAGAAAACTCCACGTGGCCAGCCCGTCCGAGCGAGGCGCGAAACCACGACCGAACTCCCAGTGTTCAGGGTACGAAGAGTGCTTGGCCACTGGTGGGCACACAATACGACAGGTCAAATTTGATACGAATTCGATACTTTCCCTTGTTACGTATGCGTAACAACGGGAAAGTAAAACCGAAACACTACGGTACCAACGCAGCCTAAGGCGCGAGCATTTAACATCGCGTAACCACGCGGCTGGAGAAAAAAGTGTAAGAATGATGTCCAGAAGTATATTCCTTACCGTTATTTGCCTTTACTTTTTCGGCCGTTACGGAAAAGGAAGTAGGGAAAAGTGTGGCCACGGTTCAAACTTCCACTCTTCTCATCACTTTCATTTCCGGACATTTCGACCCTCAGCAAGCCAGAAACGTAAAACAAACCCTAGCAAAATGGCGCTTGGATGTCTTTCCGGCGTTACGTTCGGGGACCGGAAGAAGCAAAATTTCCGAAATTCGGCAGATTGATTTCTATATGCGGAGTACCGACGCTATTAAATTTGGAACCGGAGGGGCGGGAGAAGAGGTGAACGTGCGTGGCGTGATCGGACGAAAATGTTACCGTTCATCAACATTTAGGATATTTTTTGGAAATTCTTCCCCACCCGGAAATTAAGCCTTTTTATAAGTTAATAATTTTTAATTCGGTAACGAGCGGCGCCATTTACAATTTTAACTCCGCCCCCGTCCGGGTCCTACGACTTCCAGTGGCCGAAATCCAAACCGCCGATATTCCGAAAATATCCGCCATTGTCAAACTTCTAGGCTTACAGGAAGGCGGCGCTGAACGTCCGACATACACGTTTTCGCGATGAAAACGTCAGCCGCAACCTCTGTTGGCGCCTGGGACGGAGAATATATAAACTGACGGAATCCCATTTAAATATGAGTAAATCAGGCGGGGAGAAAGGGTGAAGGAGCTGGCAGAAGACAAACTCTGGGACTCGTTGGGTTGGTGGATATAGCGCAGGAAACTCATTCAGGATCCCGGAATTAGCTTTTTGTCCGATTAGAAAAACGATACGGAGGGAGAAGACCCGAGGCCAGCCTCGATACGGCATATTCCTTCCCACACCCCGGAAGAGGAGGGGACTCGTTCCCCGATAATTTCGGGTGTTAAAAGTGGGTAGGTGGGTTCCACGGAACGTGCGACGCATTCTTGGTGTTCTTCGTTATCGTTATTACGTTACACATTGGTTTTCTTTTTCCTTTTAGCACAACTACCGACGTCTTCCCGCCGCTTCCGGTCTAGGAAATTTGGCCAAGTTCGAGGACGTGTCTATTTTGGATGCCGACTTCCAGGTGAGTAATTCCTAAAGCTGTAAAATTACGCCAAACGAAACCAATGTAGAATATCGTAGAATTCCGGCGGAGGGAAATTCTCTTCGTTTCTTCTTATGAAACCTTAATCCCAAAGAACGATTTTCGTTTCAGGAGATGTCCGCCCCCCGGACGACGGCCAGAAAAAAGGTAAACTTTCAGTTCTTTGCGCGACGAAAACGACAGATTCCCACGATTTATTTTAAAATCGGGGGCCGAGGGTTGCGGTCGTTTCGTCGTCTCTCGGGTGTTAAAATGGAAAAACGGCGCGCTTTACTGCTGCGATAAGAGATTTTCTTCTTTTGCAGAAAGAAAGAAAGAAGAGGGAAAAGAAAAGAGGTGGGTACGACCAGCGGCGCCACCCGTTCGCGCCCGGTGAGTACTGGAAATATTAATCCGTGGCCAACGTTCTTGTGTATTTTTCAGGGCTTAGAAAAAAGAGACGTTGAGGGAAAGACGCCGGTGTCGTTTAAGAGGAATAAAGTTACTTTCACTCTCTCGATACATTCTCGCAATCGGGTAATCGTGCCCTTAGTCCATACGACGGTTAATTGGGGTGGGTTTACGCCGCCTGGCGGAAGAGATAGTCGCCAATCCTCCGATTTTTGACCGGGTTCTTCCCAGATAAGGAGAAATGGAAAATCCCCACCGAATTTAAAATCGACTCCGGCGGGCGGAAGTGGCCCGGGCAGAAGAGGGAGAATCGACGGCCTGGGCCCGTCTTCCCGGGGGCCAGTAAGGGCCCGCTTCCGGTCGCGGCGGAGGGGAGGGGAGGCGGGAGCCGAGGGCCGGGCGCGCGCGTGTACCTGGCCGTCGGCCTATCTCTCGGCAGCAGCGCCCGCTAATCCCCGCCCGTCCGGGAAAGGGGATTAAATTCTGACGTCTGGCGAAAAGCGACGAGGTAAACTTCGCTCCGTCTTGCCGAGGATCCGTCTCGGACCTCGTCCGCCGGATCAAAAATCCGCATCGGACCCGGCTCGGATCACGTGACCGGATGTCTGCGACGCTCCGATAGCGTTATCGGTCGGGCCGAGGGCAGCAACCAGTCAGACAATGGACTTATTTATTGGTCGGAGGGACACGTGTTTTACACAGACCGGGTGACATCCGGCCCCTTTCTTATCTCTGTCGGGACATCCGCGTCTGTCGTCTTATCTGTGCCAGCCACTTTCTCTCCTCTGCCCGACCTCCTAATAACGTGACAGGTGCCGCTTCTGCATCCTCCCTTCCCTCGTATTTCTTCTCGACGCTATTCTTTATGAAAGATTACTCTCGGTTATTACTATTATCCCGATCGGACCGGCGCCACCGCGCCGATCGGCGTGGCTCGCCTAATTATTTTTTGCCCTTTCCTTCCCCCGGGGGCGGAGGTGCCACTTTCGTCGGTGCCGGCGGCGGGGGGAGCGTAAGCGAGAAGAGCGGCGGCACCGGGTGTAATTCCCACGACCGTTGCGCATTATCCGGCGCGCGACTTGACATTTTCCCTGGGTTATCTGGCGAACGGAGAGGAGAGAAAAAGCGTCCGCATCCCGGATATATCGAGTCCGGAGGTGAGAGAGAAGGAAAACGAATCCGAAATCGAAAAAGAGCGCCCCCTGTAAATTCTCTTTCTCCCGACGGCCGGACGACTCGGCCGAGGGGCGCAACAATCGCCGCCCACGAAAAATCCCTAGTTTTTCCCCTCCTCCCTCTGTCGCTTTCTATTACTTTTTGCTTTCGGAGGTGCTTCGGTGGGATTCGGTGCAGCTGCACCCGGATCCCGGGAAATTGGTCCCAAACTCTACGGCGAAAAAAGTATATATATATTGCATAAGATTAATGTTTTCTTTAATATAAATCAATTTGTTGCCCTCTGCAAAAAGAATTTAACCGATATTTTGAATCGAAATTGCATTCAACAGCTTCCTCCTCGCTCCGTTCTCGCCCGGGCTTTTGACTCTCCGACGCCGAATTTCGACATTCTTACGTCACCGATTTCGAATTAGGAATCCTCCAATGGGGACGGACTTTGATGGCGCCTCCGTCTGGTTCCTACGTCCAAAGCCATTAAATGCGACTCGATTCGCAAGATCCTGTATTTACCCTTTGACTCTAAATTTCGATAAATTAATGTTACGCGGGCCAAAATTAAAATCCCCGTCCATGCGCGCGATTTTAAACTTTGTATTGGGTTGGGGAGCAGCCGAATGGAAATGTGGTCGGTGACGTAATTCGAAATTGGCGCCGATATATCGGTGGAGGTTATCGCTTATCGATCGGAGGAGAATTGGATACCGGAATCGATATTGAGAGGTTTTTCTGGAATGCTCGGCCGTCGACAGGGCTGCCGAAAGGGTTGTGGCGGCAAGTGACGACGCCCCAATATTTACTTAGTTTTAATTTCTCGCGTTATAAACGTCGATATTAAAATTCAAATTAAAAAAATGATTCGATTTTCGCTCCTTTAATTTATTTAAAGGAACGAGAAACCGCATTTGGGAAATAATTTGCGCGATAACGGCTAAACATTATCGAACCCTTTCTGGCATCCGGTTGCCCGGGCAACGGCCCCGAGCATTTCGGGAGGGTCGCGGAAAAACGCGGAAAGAGATTGGCAACTACAATTTTCATATTACTTTTTTCCGGGATTATTGTTTTCCGAGGAGCAACGTGAGACATATCGCCCTCGCCCCTTTTTTTGCCGCGCTTTTTTCGACTCTCTCTCCATAAATCATTCGTCCGCCTCCCCCTCTTCCCCCCTCCGCCGGAGATTTGACCCATCCGAAAAGGTAGCGCCCTCCCGGTTGCACCTGGCGAAGAAAGGGCCCGTCCCCCCCGACGTTTTTACCTGTGGAAAAATCGGATTTGAACGGGTCTGATACCGAGCCGAGGGTGTTGCGGCAATTTCCTTTTTTTTCTTCCCCGGCACTCCAACTAGGGAGTGCGATAACAATATTTGGAAAATACTTTAAAGTAAGAAGAAAAAAGTTTAAAGTAAATCTGAAAATTGCTTCCTCCTCTCTTTCCACACTCCGCGTCATTCGTTATCGGCCCGCGCCATTTTCTTCTCTATATTTGCCGGAGGTGGAAAGTTACGCGCGTGCCACCCGGGGGTGCCGGAAATGCGGTTTTGCCAAGTTTGTCGGGAGGTCGAGGGGCAACGGCTAAACGTAGATACGATACGAAGTTCGGAAGCCGTCCGTCGAGCGTTCTTCCTCCACCCCAGTGCTTTTTGTTTTTCTTTTTTGGAAACGTCGTCACGTCACGAGACCGGGAAAGCTTATTTAAATTTTAAACGCTCGGCGAAATGTTCTTTCAATCTTTTCTTTCTCGGTTCCGTGATAGTAGCCTACAGACACGACTTACACCGACGTCCAATCACCGTTTTTTTCCGCGGGGCGGAGTATTCCCCCTCCCTCCACGGAAATGTTCCAGATAAAAGGAAGAGAGGAGGAAGTTCTGGCTCTCGCCTGGCAAATTCTTAATTTAAAGGGCGAGGAACCCACCCAATTAAAAGTGGGAATTTCGGGAAAGTCCGTGTTTACTGTTTACTTTTTATTCCGTTAATCGACACGGCCTTAATTTAAACCTTCCACTTGTTTTTCGTGCGTCCGAAGAATTTATGTTGTGTTATTTGTGCGCCCTTTTTCCCTTTAGTAATTAGCTTTCTTCCGGAAGGGCGTCTCTCCTCTTTCTATTATTTTGCCGAATCTCCGTTTGCATTCGTTTGATTTAAAGAAAATATCCGTGGAAGAAACGACGGGTTCGTTATGTATTCTGCGGTGTTTACGCTGGATTTCCTAGACGAAGCCAACAAACGGGCATCGGGGACGGAAAATGAATGCAATGTAACCAAGATGGAAAATAAAAGTGATTTTTGTCTTCCCAGTGTCGGGTTTTCTGTAAGCCAGCCAAAGCCACTTCCTTTTTCTCCCCGCAAAATGCCGATTTATCGTCATCGACACCCAATGACTAAAAGAGCCTTATCGGCCCTCACCTTTCGGCATTCCGTTTCGGTGGGCGACCGGGAATCGATACCAAACGCGTCCGGAATGTCGTCGCCACGCCGGTATATAGAAGTCGCCTTTCGGTACGACGTTATAAACGGGGCAACAAAAAAATTCCGGCTCGACCGGAAAAAAACGTTATATACGTTGATTTTCGGCGGTCCGGACCGAGGGCAGTCGCGGGAGGCAAATACTAGCTGATAAGCGGGAAATATTCTATTCTCTAACCCCGACCGTAGCCCCGGACCAAAAATTAAGGCGAAATTCGAATTTCCGGGTTATCCGGCGGGGATTAGAGGATAAATCCCGCTAATGCCGGAGGGTTTAATACACCGGTAAGAGGAGGAGAAAGGAAGGAGACGGGGTTAATTAAGAGGGGTCGATCCGCATCGACCCCATTTTAGGGAATTTCTCGGTCGGAAGAAAAGGAAAGGGGGAGGAAGACGAAGGAAAACGTAATTAGAAAGCGGCGAAAATAAAAATGCGGTAACGGAAGAGCCGCCATTCCGGTCACGTGGCGCCGAACGGCGCGAGACTCAGGTGCGACGACTAATCTCGGCCGGGATTGGAAGGAGACGAGTTTAGCGTCCGTTGTTTATACGGCCGAACTCACCACTCGAGACCAGATGGCCGGACGCGCGCCTCCCTCGCCCCTATACAAGCCGAGATGCCGGCACATCTGCGCCCCCGCCGGCGCGGCTCCCCCGGGACGCGGCTTCGCGTTCGATTGCCGCGCCTCCTCCCGCAATTAAAACGCGCGGTTAAAAAGTTTCTTTCCGCCCGCCGGGGGATTTCCCTCCGAATTAACGTTCCGACGTCTGGTTGCAGCTTCGCCCTCCCGGGTTTTTTTAAACACGGGCTTACTCGACTGCGCGGCGCGTTTCTAAGCCCGCGCGACGTCCGTTTATTAGAGAATCCGAAGTGGAGAAAGTATGCGGTTAAAAAAGCAAGGGACGCTTTCCGTTTTTAGTTTTCCGGACCGGGGAAGGGCGCGTTCGGCCTCCGCGGTCGAGGATTTTCACAAAAAAAAAATCTGCCCGAAACCGGCGAGGAATTTCGAAAGAGGAGGAAGGCGCGGAGTCGTATTCGTGCCGTTAATTGCTCCATTTCCGCAATTTCGTATTAAACCAGGTGGAAGACGTTTAAAGGAACCGGTTAAGACGTCGCCCGCAGGTGACGATCCGCAGCTGGTTTAAACAATCGATACGTCTCCTCTAAATCCCACTTTTTTGTTTTTTCGTCTTTGTTTATCCGCGCTGTTCCCGGACTGCGGGGTATCCTCCGAACTCCCCTCCGCTTTTCCGGCGGCGGACGGCGGGAGGACGGCCCGCGTCCTCCCTAAATGCAGCTGGATTAAAAAGCCACCACCACCTCGCACCTGCCGCACCGACTCGGAACAGGTGACGACACCGACGCTGTTCTCCCCCTCTCGACACCGCAACCGATTTTCCGGGGGTTACTGCCCTCGTTTCCAGTTGGGCATCCGACGCGGTCACTACCAGTCCACCCACTGGGAAATCGTCTGGCTTTCTTCTTTCGGTTCCGATTGGCAACACTTAAACGTCGGAAGTGGCGGGGAGAGATCGACACCGCCTCGCCCTCCGAACCGATTTTATCGCGTTTAAATTGGCACGGAAAGAAAGAAATGTTACCTTGGCAATATCCTTTCATTCCGAGGTGGCACGTGTACGGTGGCGTCGCATTCCTCCGTCCATTTTCTTTTTCTTCCCGGCAGTCGAACTTAGGCGTAATAACCAGGTTGGGGATAGAGAAGTGGTCCGAGGGGACGAAGTTGACGGTCTTCTGCGGAAGAGAAAAGATTGGAATTAAGAGGCCGAACCGGCTTACGCGTAACGTCGGGTCATGATAGGGGAAAGGGGAGGCCCGACCCGAGGAGAGAGGACGTCACCGAGAGTAAAAAATTCATTAGGTAATTAGCCGAGGAGGAGGCAGGTGAAAGATCCGTCGGTTCGCGCAGATGTTCCATCCCGAAACGACCGCTAGGTGCGGGCGCCCCGTCCGCCAACAGCCGCCCGACGGACACTCGAGGAGACAAAAAAAAAAGAGCACCCGCCCGGACACTCTCCTCGGTGACGGGGTCCATAAGAGGAACATTCTTTGGACGCGGGAAGAAGCGTTACGGAGAAACCCGCATATAGCGTAAGCATTGCGACTGTTTTCTCGACGTGGCCAGGCGGAGGGAAACCCAACGTCATTTGGATTGTTGACAATTCTTCGAGATTAGTTTGATATTTTACACATTTTCGCGCCCGGGATAAGTGAGAGGAGGAACGATGTCCTTCTCCCCTTTCGTTCGCATCTGGGCACGTGACTAAACTAATAATTATCGAATAAAACATTTAGTAACAATCGACTCGTGCGTTAAATATTTTGTGTTTTCCAACGGAGAATCTTCGATATCGGCCTCCGTTACACCTCGGATTTATTTCTGTCTTTCCCGATAAAGCGTCGTTTTGTTTTGGAATTTATCCCCCAATATCGCACGATTCTCCACGTTTCTGCTCCTCCCTGTTTTCTCGGATAAAGCGCCGAACGACGCGTGGACGACAACGTTTACGATCCGTCTTCCCTAAAAACGATTAGCCACGAACTCTGTCCACCTTTTGTAAACTAACGGAATTCGTTAATTCCGAGAACGGGGGCAAAAAGGGGCGGAGAAGTTTTCCGGTCGGTTTTTCGGGCGAGAAAATTCCCAACGACGAGAAATATCCCCGTACGGACAATTGGGGGGCAAAACGTTAGGTATCGACCGGAAAGGAGGGAAAAAGTCGGGGGCGGGCGAAGGTAAGATTCCATTTTTGGCGAAAGAGGAAAGAAAACGTTTGGAAGGAAAAGGGTAATCCGGTGGGTGGCGTTTTTAATAGGCAATCTCGGCGTCGAAGAGGTAGAAGGAGAAGTTTCTCCCACCATCCTTAAAAAACTTCTGGTTATTAATCGGAGGCTGGCTGGGAATAATTGTCTGACGGAGATATATTTTGGTCGATAGCATTAAACACCTTCGTCCGAGGATCAAACGGGCAAAAGGCTAAACACACCAAAAAAAAATCCAGAATAAGCAAATTTATGTCTGTATTGTTCGAATGGTTCCCCCTCCTCTTCCATTCTTTCCTTTTTTTCCTCCTCCTCCTCTTTCCAGACGTTATTCATCAAGTTTCTGGTGAAAAAAATCTCGCGCCAATTAAACCGCGCGTTATCAAAATAAATGTTGGAATAAATCTTAATAAAATTCTTCGCCTTTCCGACAATTGCCGCCAACGAAAGAATAAAAAAATAAACGCGGGATTACATAAGCGCTGCATCCGGTTTCCGTCAGCTCTTCCGTAACGCCGCCACAACGCGCAGGGCGTACCGGGTTACGCGCGCGCGCGTCGTTACTTCCTCTTCTCGCGTGGTGGTTTCGGGAGGCCCTGCCGCCAGCCGGAAGGGGGGCCCGGGTGGTGGGAAACGGAAAAGGCGCCTCCACTCTTCCTACCGAAATTCTTCGATTATCGGCCGGGAGGGGGAATAATTCGGAGAAAAATATGAAAAGAAGAGCGCGAATCTATAGAGGGATTGATTGGGAGAGGCGTTGGTTATATCCATCGGCTCATCAATCCCGGGACCAATGATCCTAGATTTACGTAACACCTGCTCACACTCGGACGGAGGGATCGAAGGGGGATTAATGAGTCGAGTCGGTCTTTTCCTATTTCCACTTTTGCCATCTGCCCCCGACGCGGCTCGCGCCGTCCGCGTTTTTAATTTCCCACCCCCGGCAGCGGGAATAATTACCCTTCGGATGGCGGGGGGAGACGCGTAAGAAAATCATTAGGGGAGGTGGGAGTGCGCGCGATTAGAATTTGTGTCCGGGTCGGTGTACCGAGAGATCCAAACCGCACCTTTTAGCTGTATACACAACTTGTGTGTAAGGACCAGCTGTCGCGAGTATCGATTCATCGCATTCTGCACCGTCTGCTGTCCTCTGCTTCTGTCAGATACGTTCTGCCGTCCCGCATTCTGTCCTCCACAGCGCTCGGTGACGTCCGCACCACGTGACGGAACCGGTAGGATAGATTTGTATACCCGAAGATACAAAATTATTAAATGGTTTATCCTTTGAGCCGAACGTGACGTAATTAGTTACGTGTCATTTATTTAAACGCGTAGAAACCGCCGCGGGGAGGAGGAGGAGGGTTTGCTTTCACGGATATTTCGCCGGGTCTGCGAGGATTTTCTCTTTTAAACCGTTTCCGGCCGTCGAATATCGATTTTTCGACAATCGATTATCGGAATGAAAGTTTAAAACTTTTGTTACGTTTCGGTCGCGACGGATAACGGGCGGAGGCTCTTACGCCGCACGCGCCGCCGCCTCCCCGCGTCGGAGGCCAGCCACCACCGGTAACGCGCGTGCCGGCGCCATTTTCTATCCCCAGCAAAAACCTATGGTAAATAAGATATTTGGTGGAGTGTAGAGCTTCCGGGCGTAACGCTTCAACCCCGCGGGCCGGGGTTGACCTCTCCTCCCGGATGTCTATTTCTAGAATTCGGAGGAAGAGGGCCGCGCGCCAAGGTACGTAAACGCGGCGCGACGGTGTTTTGTGCCGAAAGAGAATGTGAATATTGGTAAGGCGACGGACGGTATAATAAAAGAAAATCTCAATCAATGGACGCACCATTTATCACGCGTGACAAGTCACGCCACGGCCGGGAGTTTGACGAATTCTCGGAAGACAAAGAGAAAAACAAGGATTAGAGGAGAGGAAGACGAAGGGAGGATTAGGCTCATCCGCAGGGAGGAGTCCAATTACCGGATTCCGGCGGAGTATAATATATACTGGTGTTTACAATATAATTTTACGGCGAGGAAGAATAGTCGCTACTTTATTATTTATCGCCACTATTTTCGTCTGACAGGTGATATTTTGAAGCGAAGCTATCGACTGAATTACGATAACTAACGACGAGATTTTCTAGAGTTTTTTGGATACTTTAAAAAGTCTGAAAACGAATTATTGATAAATTACCTTCGAAGTAAGAGTAACAACTTATAACCCGCCAAAGACCGCCCGAAAGCTACTATATAAAGGCGGGGAGGGTGGCAAATAACGCGGCTCCCCCGCCTTTTCTCCTAACAAAACGTTAACAGGCTTCCGCCCCCCGACTCGGCCCGGGGAATGGAAATCTGGCCCGTAATCCCTTGGCTAGGTGCGAAATTTAAGCCGGGGACCGGGACAAACCCGTCTTCGGGGGGCGCGAATAAATTCCGGGAAAGATATTAGGCAATCGGAGCGACACCGGGTGGGACGAAGAAGAAAATGCGGCCGTTATTCCGGGTTTAATTATCGAGTGCGCGTGCATCTTACAAAAGTTGCACGCGAAGTAGCCGGTGGCGGGCGATATTTCATTAAAAGATAGGCGGAGATTGCCTACCCGCGCCATTCGTCATGCGACTCTCTCTCTCTTTCTCCCCGGTAGGGTTTTTAAAAAAGGCCGGACTCGAACCCCGACCGCTCGGGGGAGGTTACCGAAAAGAATGTTTTTGGCGGGAATCGATTCGGCCCCCCTTCATTACCGTAACACAACCTGTCAATACACGGGAAAATTTAAATTGTAGGAAAGACGCCAGATGTGCCGGTCTCTGTGCCTCATTGATTGCAGTATGAGCCGAGCATGCTGCGGCCTGTCGTCACCTCTATCTTTCTTCCATTTATTTTCCCGGTCTCTGGTAAATTGCCCCTTTTTTCCCTCCCCCTTTCCTCTTCTCGGTCCCACCCACTGACGAAACAACCCAGCTGCTTCATTAAGGACACTACAGTCCGAGAAATTCCTTCGCCGGCTTAGGTGTTGCCGTCGGAATAATGACTGCTTCCGCTATTAACCTTCTCGTCTGCCGCGTGACACCTTCTCCTCCTAATTGGCATCGACGTGACACCTCGCCGCGAAAAAAGCGTGGGAGAATTCTTTTTTATACTTCGCTCCACCACCCACAAAAAGCGATTCTGCCGCATTACCCAAGGGGGTCGCCCCCTTTCTTTAATTATCGTTGGGGGTGACGTTCACCTGGCAGTCGTCCGAATCCGGGCGGGTTCCAAATAAATTCGACGGTGAGAACACTTAATTAAACGCCGGTTGCTGTCCGTAAATGCCGGAATTTTTTAACACTTCAAACACTAAATGCCGGGAAATTTAAGGGCGATTTCTCTACTTTCTACTCGATTTTAAATCGATATCCGAAAGGAGAAGGATAAAGAAGGGAACAAACGGGAATAATTTACCCTGGGATAATTAAACCGCGACATCTTCTCTTCGAAACGACTTTACCGACTTTACTTGTCGGTAAAGGCCCGCCAGTTAACGGAAACCCTGGTCGAAACGTCCTCCGTCCGAATAATTCCCTAAAGATTTCCCGCAGATAATGAATTTCCCTTACAAACCCGGAATCTCTCGCTCTTTTTCCGCATTTAAAGGTGGTGGTCGGCGCTTCCTTTCTTAAATATTTCGCATCGTTCACGCGGGGAGCATTACGAATAAGACACTACCCAATCTGCGGACGGACCCGCGCCTCCATCAGTCCAGTGGATCTCCCCACAAATCGAATGGCGTTGGGCAGAAAATGCTAGAACCGAGCATTTTCGTTCCCGCTCTGCTACCAGAGTTTCGGATCGGGATCGGCCGGAATCTTACCACTAAATTAAAAGGATAAGTTTAAAACTGGCGTACTTTTGCCTCCCTACTCCCGGGACGGTGGCCAATAAGCATTTGGATTTTGATGTGGATTCCTCTCTTAAAGCATTTCGATCTTACGCCCGAGGATTCTTTTAAAAATCGACGGTTCGAAGTCATCCCCGACTCAAATATTACGGCAAATAGACGAAAATTTTCGACACTCATTTTACGAGTAGTCGGAAACGGGGGGGAAATCAAATAAAAAATGTCTACTCGCTTCCCACGGATAAGGCGCCTTTAGTAAAAATTAGAGGGGAGACAAAGACGGTAAAAGAGCGCGACCTGTAGGGAGGGGAGGGAAGGTGGCGTCGAGAATAAGTCTTTCTTCGCTCGCCACCGCCAATTTCAGGTGTTAAATTTCTCAGGCCCGTCGTAATCCGGTCGGCTCGTCACATAAATCACTTAGAGTCTGTCGTGACGCCCCCGCCGAACCGGGTAGATAGGTCGGAAGATACAGGTGGCGCACCTTTTATGCGTGCCGATGCCGCGTCCGGAATTCTTACCGAATGACGTGTTTGCGGATGCCGTTTTCTTCTCTTCCCCTTTTTTCCTTTTTTCGTCGTCAGAAAAACAAATTCACCGACGACGATTTGGTAAAATAATTTCCAACGTCGGTATCAACCTCGCGGCTCTCTCCGTCGCATCTTTTGCCCCTTTTCTTCGTCTTCTCGCTCGGAAACTTCCACATTTTCCGCATTACTTTTAAATTTTGAAGAACCGGAAGGCCAAAGCCGTCGAAGATTCACTACGGTCCAACGCGCGAGGGTTTCTCGCTTTTCACACGCATCGAGCGTCACCGCGGCCGGGGAATTGTCTTCCTACCGTCCCAGACGAAAAGAAGGTAACGCGCGCCGGGGACGACGCGTCATGCGCGTTCGAAGAAGAGATTTTAATGCAAAACTGGAAAAATAGGATTGGGCCGCGCGGCCAAAGGAGGAGGAATTACGAGTGGGCAGAATCGATCGACTCGTAATTTGTTGCTTAGAAATGTGGCTTACAAGTTTTGACATCGAGAGAGAGAGAGAAAAAGAATGTGTAACAAGGGGGAAAAAAGTCAACAAATGGTTATGGGAGGCAGGAAACTTTCTTTCCGCCATTCTTTCTTCCCCTGCGAATTGTTTGATTTTTTCTTCCTTGATCTGGGTTACGCGGTCGAGGTGTCGAACAACGCGTAGGAAGGGAGGAAAAAGCGCCGTTTCTCGTTGGCGCCGGATGGAATAATAGGAATTAGGTTAGATAAATATTTTCCCATTGATAATTACTAATTTAATGGGTTTACGAAATTAAAGGTTTATCGATTTTTAAAAGTAATTAATTTAAATTTATTTACGCCGCTTTATGGTTTCCGGGTGCAATATTTTTGCCGAAATGGCCCCGGCCGTCGCGTGATCCCAATCTTCGCGCCTCTTGTTCTTTGCATTTTTCGTCGTCCGGACGCGCGCGCCGCACTCTGTTTTTCCTTCTTAATTTGAAAAAACGCAAATTCCTCCATCTCTTCCCGACGAATGGCGTCGGGCGCCTTTGATATAAATACCACGGTAATCGCCCGGATCCTTCCCGTACGTCGTGCGTTTAGTCACGTGACCGGCGGTAGGCTTCCCATAATCCGTCTATCGGCCGGGCCACCGGTTCGGGCGTCGTTGCGGGGCCGCGATAACTCCCTCCCCTTCGTAATCGCTCGTGCACAATTGTCCGATTAATAGCGCTGCGCTTAACCGCCCACCGGTGACGTAAAAAAACCGACGGTGGGTTTAAAGTCGTATTCGGGATTCGTTTTTCGGGGAAATTTCGTATCGCCGAATGGAGGAGTATCCGATATTTCCCGCGTATCGGAGAGTTCTCCGTCGTACCAGGGCGTGGAAAACGATTGTCGCCAGCTTCCCGTATATGAATACCGAATCTTCACGTAAACAGAGAACTTAATGAATTAAAAAGAGTCCTCCGTCTTCCCTACGGGGATTTTTACGTAATTATATTTTCGGAACAATTTAATTTCCTGGCCTTGGGGTTTGGCCAATTCCAAGAAGCCACTTTGAGGCTAAGCTCTTGAAACTTCATTAATTGTAGAGCGTCCGTCGCAGTTCGACTCCAAAAACTCAAATTTTACGCCAGTGGCGGGTGCAAGTTACGATGATCGATACGACCCCGCGCAATCGTTTCTTCCATGCAAGATTCCTCAAAGACAGATTATTCCCGGAATTCTCGAGATTCCTACATGCGTTTACTGGGAACCAGCGATAATCCCTAAATGTTTTTAGGAGGAAGCTCTTTTTTGGTATGACGAAAGACCGTGGCGTTATCCGGGAACGGGTTCGAGATCTCCCGGAGGTTGTCAGCATCAATTTGGAACTCCCCTTTAAAGGATTCTCCGTATTCTAACTCCCGATCAACCCCAGCCCGGATTTTGGCCTGGCAAAAAATGGGATCGAATCTGGGACGGAGGAGTTGGGATGCAGAACAGAAAAGAACGAAGAAGATCGTTTCCGACCACTTCCGAGCGTCTTCTGGCCACCTGTGGCTCGAGAAAAGAGACGAGAAAACTCGTCTCCGATAACCCCCCGCAACAATGACAGATTGATGACATCTGCAACCAGAACAAGATACTATTTTATGACGTCAATTAGCTGTCAACCAATCGTCGGTGTCGACGACAAGCCGAAAGAGTCCGCAGTAATGTAACACCGTGGGGACATCTGGCGCCGTCGGCCCCGGCCGGGGGCTCGCCCATTAGCGCCATCTGGCGTGCGGAGGCGGTGACGACCGGGACTCACTCTCACGACCCCCGTTATATATATATTACGCGCCATTAAAAAATTAACACTTTCTCCTCCAGGCGGGGTATTTTCCCTTTTTTTTAAATCTCGGGTCGGTCTAACGAGACGGGCAAGAACCCCGTAGAAAGGCGTAAGGCGGGGTGAAACCCGAGGTTAAAAGGCTTAGGAGAACGAAAGGGAAAGGAAAAAAGCACGCTGTACCTCACGTCGGGAGCGCAGTTTATAATTTACAGTCTGCACTTGCCAAATTGGGATATAATTCATCGAAGTCTTTCATTTCCCAACAACACGCCACATGTGCTCTAGATAAACAAGAATTATTTATTTTCGCAGATAACAAAATGCGAAAACCCAATTTCGAAACGTCGACGTTTTCTTCCGATTACTAAAATTATCGAAACTTGCGGAGGGGGGAAGAGAAAGGGAGCGGGCGAGAGAATCGAAGCCAAAGACGATTGGTTAGACGGCGGCTCGCGCTACCAAACTCGACAATTACGAGCGGTGTCGACGTCCTCGACCCTCGACCCCGTCGTGTCACGTCTTAACCATCTGGTGCGACGTCTTGGGTTACTTTTCCCACCGCGTCGGAATCCTGAGGTTAGAGAACTCTGACCCGGTGGATTGGGAAACAGCTTTGCTCTTAGCAGCGGCATCTGGACTCAAGATGTGCACGTCCGAGCACTTTTTGGGAAAGGGTGCAGTCCGAAACGGGACACTTTCGTACGGATTAACACGTGGGTATCCTCCACTCTTACGGCAGCGCCACCGAGGATCGAATTACCAACGAATTAAAAGGGTTTTGACCCGACTTCAGCTAGGAGGGACGATAAAAGAAGAGAAACGGTGACGTAACGGCGGGCAAACAGTCTCTCTCGAATCCGTAACGAAGAGTGCCTTATCTTATTTTTAATGTTGGCTTCTAGGATAGCGTTTCGTAAATGGCCAAGAAATTACATAATTCCGATTTTAAAAAACGTTTCGGGAGCCCGAAAATCTACTTCAATATTGTGGTGCGAGTTACGGCCGGAATTATAAAAACACGCAACAAAAACAAATTACAGTAACAAAGATTAATTTGGTGATTTACGCTTTGTCCTTGCGTTACAATACGAAACTACGAGCACAAAGATTAATTTATTAATTTTATGCGCAGAAGCGAAAACGATGCGGGACGAGGAAGGTGGTGCACGGGTTGAAGCCATTTTGGAATATTTAGCATGGGAAGGGCAGAAGCAAAAACGATTTCTATTAATTTTATTTTTATACAAATTTATTCAAAAAATTGAAAACGTCTAAAATGACAAAATAGGAAATAAAAAAGAAAATTGTTAAAGAAAGAATAAATCTGAAAACGAATGGGCCAAACGTCTCATTTTGCGAGATTTCTTCTCGGCCGGCGCCAGAAATCTTTTAATATGTTCTCTCCAGATACGGAATATCGACTATTAAAACGAGAAAGGCAACTTTAAGAAGTATAAATACCTAAGGAACGATCGACATTCCCCATAAAACTCCCAACTCCTGCCAAAACGTTTCAGGCCACGTTTCGTTAGCTCTTCGTCATTTGCAGAGTCGCCGCTAAGAAAACCTCGTTTATCAACTCTCTCCCTCTCTTCACAGAATTAAGGATAAGGCGCGGATTATCCCTCTCCCGCCGACTCTCCCCTCCTCCGGTGTTGGGGGTGGAGGGGCGGAAGACGGCCACCGCCTTTGACGTTTCTGCCAGATATTCGGGATGTCTCGGACCGGTTTATTTCGGCGAGTCCACCATTGATTTCTTTGGTCGGAAGGCGTATTCTTCGCTACCGCATCCTTTTGCTCTTCGCTGCACCTTGTACCCCCGGGACACGCAAGCGTCGCACGAGGGGGTCGAACGTTTATTCAATCACGTCTCTTCCCACATCCATTTTGGTCTTGGACCCACACCTATCGATCCGGAAAAAAGAGGAAGAAGAAGAAGAAGAAAAAAAGAAAGTAAAACTTCCTTTCTTCCATGTTTCTTAAGTAGTTCTTTCTATTTTTGCTAATCCCAAAGTGGATGAAAATTTTCCTTTTTCTTTTCCCAAGAGAAAATTTCGTAATCGTCATTTTAAGACTCCGCCGAATTTCAAAATTTATTTTATAAATTCCGAATTTAAAAATCTTCGGAAAAATTCCTTCCGAAATTAAATAGGCCACTCGATTTTACAAGAAAATATTCGAAAATCTTCACCTTAAAACAAGGAATTAAATTACGTAAATTTGGAATAAAGCGCTAAATATTTCGAGACATTAAATATTCGGTGGTTCACCTTTCCCAGTTAATTAATATTTACCCAGAAAATTTTAAATAATAAACCCGTTGATAAAATAATCCCCAAAATATTTATAAATCGTTTTCGGGGGTTAAACCCCCATCCGATCCTCTGATATTGTTAAAAGGTGGGCCTGGTTTAATTCTCCAAATTACTTTCGGATTAAATAAATACCAAAATTTGTGATCACACTTGGGAATCCAATAGTTCTCGCGCATGGTCAAAAATATTTCACTTCCCTAAGAAGAACTCGAAATATTTAAGATATATAAAAATTAGGTTTATTTAATCCTCTAAAAGGTTGCAGAGTTAATTAAAACGGTTCTCTCAAACTGGAATTTATTTAATGGCAAAGGAAGGTGTTACGAAAACTCTAAATTCGATCTTAAAATCTCTAAATTATATATTTTTACCCGCAAAATATCGATGTATTTTGCAGGATTTCAACGGAAATTAGTGGGTTGGCCTACAACAGTGCTTGACGGGACCACGGCCCGTTGCAAAATTTCGAAGAGGAATTTAGAGAAAAATGGGGTAACCTTCGGAAACCGAAACCGATCGACCTTCGAAAAATAAAGAAGGGGCGAAAGGCAACAATAATTTATAATTGCCAGCTCGTTAAACACGCCAAACGCAGCTCGAAAAATGCGGAGGAACTCGGAAAAATTTTTATACAAATCGATTTTTTTAAAAACTCTTCTTAAATCAGTTTTACCACTAAATAGGGTGAATCGGAGGTTTACCGAACGGTGGCGCTGCGTAACGACGGGAATGGGAGGAGCCCGGTGCGCGTCCACCCCCCCGCTCGCGTCGCGGCCCCCCGGCGTGAGAGGAGCGCCACGTGCGACGTCTCCTGGGAAAGTATCGACTCGTAACACGTGGACTAGCGCCTCTAAGGTTTCAAAATAATATCTTTGCTGTAGCGTCCAAGTCTTTATTGGGTACGTATTACTCCTAAGCAGGCAGAGATGATTAGGTTAAAAAGAAAGAAATGTACTTTACTTCTCATCTGTTTCTCTTCTTTTTTTTCGTCTCTCTCCTCTCCAGGTCGTAATCCGACATCGAAATGTCTCTCGGGTCGCCCGCTTGTCATTTACTTGGCGTGGATTCTTTTTTTATAGGCAACACGCTACTGGTTAAACCCAAGGCCAGAAGAACTTTCGCCACATCCCAAGGCAAAATAACAGGTGAGAATAGCCATAATAAGAACTACACCTTACTCTGACGCCCGTAAACGGTTCCGGGTTCGAGTACTGGGGAAAATCTAAAGATTCTACGCTCAGACCTCCGTCGACCTGGATTAAATAATAGCGGGGAGATGGCCGGTAAATTTCAAATTCGAATAATAATAATAATAATAATACCAGAAAATATTATTTCCGACGGAGTTTTCATAAAATTTTATTATGGAATTGTACAGTACATCCATAGTACTTACACAGTCGCGCACCTGTTTAAAGTTTCCTATTTACCGTCTGTTTAACAGATGTGTATTATGTGTCATAGAGGCACGTGGAAAGCAGATCCACACGACTTTTGTGTAAACACAAGTTCCGACCGCGAGTAATTCGCTTTAATATCGTTAATGGCGACCGGCAAAACTTCCAAGACGCCTTCGCGTAGATAATAAGTTCATTAGACCAGTCCAGATATCGCCGGAATAAGCTCCCCCTCTTATCGCTTAGGTGTAGGCGCTGGGAATTTTCGGAATCTCGTCGACCCGAGGCGCCGGTGTTTACCGTTCTTTGACACGGGACCGATAACTTTTGTCAAACGTTCCACACGTTCTTATCGACGATAAACAAACTGCAAAATGACGGGCGGCTATAATTAACCGTGGCCGCCCGCCTCTCCGATGGTTCCCCGCGGCCCGAACCTAGGGCCTCTCGAATATCTTCCAAAACATTATCGTCGTAGGCCCTTCCCTTAAGACAACGCACGATCCGCCAGCGACGATACTCCGACAGATGTCGATGCAATCGGAATTTTTAAGCGTGTGGACAAAAGTTTCAGAGATGGGAAACCAGTGAGAGAGGAGCGGTGCGAAATATGGGTTTCCCATATTTCGCACCGCTCCTCTCTCAATGGTTACGTAATATGAAACCTTCGTTTCGAAGCGGAAAGACTTCTCCCGTCTACGTATAAATCTACGTACACTTCCCAAAATGGCAACAAGGTGTGGGGGAATCAACCCGACCGAATATTTCCCGCTTAGGGTCGGAAGGCCAAGTCATTATGGTAAGGTAAGGGCGGAGACCAAAGAAACGACCATCGGCCGAGGCTTATGCAAACTTCTCGATTTTTCCACGTCCACGACAATCGGCGGACAACATAATTACTTCAAACTTTACTTCCACCCTCACTGGAGTAAGCGGCTTTAACTGGTTTCCCTCTATTGTATGTAGTTCCCGCGTCTTTTTCTATATATAAGCCATAAGCTACAACACACGCATACTTGTAAATAAATAAATAAATAGATTCCCAATTGTTACGTCAGCAACAATTAATCGGGAATTTGTTACGGAGCCCGGAAATCTAGATCCCGGTAAAGGGGAAGCGTGGCATTTTGTCGAGAACACGGGATTATTAGAAAATACTGGAGACACTCGGCATCCCTCTCTAACCTAAAGAACATTCCACTCGACCAACGCTGCGGATTTGAGACTAATTTAGGATCCCCAGACAAAATGCCTTGAATTTAAGGGATTTCTCCCCAAAACTCAAACAAAACGCCTTCTTTCTACCCCTTTCACAGTCGGAGAAAAAATTCAGAGCTTACTGTAACAGCGTTCGGTAAACAAGCCGAAACTGTATCGGAAGAGCGAGGTAATTTGTACTTCGCCACTTCATTAAACCCGATTTTTAAGGAGCTTAAGCGTTCCATCAAAAGTTGGGAGTGTTTCGATCGTGCCGTGACGTCACAGTACGTACGTAAATGCATCTCCGTGGCAGACGTCGATGGCGGAAGCGCGTGGCCGGCGACGCCTCTCCTCTTCTTTGTCAGAGGAGAGCGTCACGCGGAGAATCCGACCGGGTCCGAAATCTCCGCCCCTAACCCATCGGCGCCCGGCGGAATCCGGATCGCGCTAGATTTCCGCGCTGAGTTATTTAAGTTTGCCTCACGCATTCCGGAAGCCGTCGGTCGCGCCCCCTCGGACGACGGAGCATTACCATCAGATTCAGGGATCGAACCCGATCCCTCTCAGGAAAACTATTTTAGAAACGGAATTACGGCGCGGCGCGTCCCAACGGCGGAAAAGAGATCGACCGCGGGGTAGAAAAACTTTAATTAAACGCAATAAATTTGGCTGCGTAGACGAAAAGAAAGAGAAGGAACGTCGTAAAAAGTGGGTAGGAGCCGGAGCCGCGGTCGTAAAAACGGCAGACGGAGGTTTCGGGGAATTTTTCTTCCTAATTATTATCCATTAGACTAATTAAGACCGGGGAAAACCGCCGGAGTAGATGGACGGACGTTTACGGCGGGAAGGTCGCAGGATCGGACGGATAAAGACGGAAAAGAAAAGAGTCGGCGCCTTCCCAACTTCGGACCGTCCGAAAATTTCCCCCACTATATCGCCCATTAACGTCTTTTTTCCCTCTCCGTCCTCGGTCCCGTCACCGTTCTTATACTCTTACGCACCTCCCGGCGGGAACTTTCTCCGCCTCCTCCCTCCCTCCCTCCCTCCCTCCCATCCTCGATAAGGTCTAAACTCTCGTGGGTTTTTGACGGCGGAAAGGGCAAGGGCGGGAGGAGAAGCCGAAGGGAGCGCATCTGACCGAATTGCGCCCGAGGCGGGGAGTTTCTTAATTTACGTGGAAAGGCGATAGACCGGGCGGAAAGGGGGAGAGAGATTTGTCAATAGGTTAGGCCTGGGTCAACAGTCACGCAACGGAATGGGAAGGCGCGCCCGGAAAGGTTAATTACGTTCTCCGGTGGAATTTACCCGTCACCGGGTGGGGGGGGAATGTTTTGTCTCCCGCCGGCGGACGGAATAATTACGGCGGAGACGAGGAGGGTCAAGCGATCTCCTTCTCTTCGTGATTAACTTTCAATTTCCTTTGACGCTTCCGTAATTAGAGCGCGTGCCGGAGGTGTATTACCTGTCAAGCGTTCCGCATTACCGGGCGGGAGTAATTAATCCGTCCGAGTAACGGCGGGAGCCGGCTCTTCTCCCGCGGACTTTTTCCACCTCCTCGGCGCAACTTCTTCGTCTTCGGTCCGGAATGGGCCATAAATAAGGCGCCGGCTCGGACCCGGGCCCGGGCCCGAACCCAATCGCGGCGGCAGCGTCTAATGACGGAGAGAGCGGCAGATGTCGCGCTTCCCACCGGGTGCCGGGTGATTGATACGTTCATTTGCGGCCGTCGTCCAAGACCGAGCGGCGGGCGTGCGAAAAAAGACGGACAGTGGCCGAACCGTGAAAGGGACGAGGTGTCGACGGCTCCTCCCCTTCCCCTCTCCTCCGGGGGGTGGCGCATTTTCCGGCCGGGCTAATCTCTTCCCTTTCTCGTTCACACCCACCCCGGAAACTATCTGAAATAGGCCTTTCGTCCCTCTTCCCAAGGGTGGGGAATTTTAACCGGGCCCTTTTTGCCTTCTTTATAGTAGCCACCGTCGGCCGCGGGTGGTTCGTTAGTGGCGCCGGCCGAATTGTATCAATCTCGTCTTTTATATATGATAGGAGTTCCTCCCTCTCGCCGGCAAGAAAATGAACAGTTTTCGATACGGCGCATAGACAAAGGATAGCATTACCGAGAAAGCTCGCTTCCTTTATCGTGAAAAGACGGTACGGCTTCGGGAAATAGCGCAGATGTCTGGGCGTTATCTTCGCCGTTGTTTCGTGTCCATATTCATAACTCCGCTTCCTTCCCGTGGCTACTTACCTGTCTCCTACCCGTCCATGTGCGGAGGTTCCCTTCGTACGTTTTCTACCTGCAGACCGCCGACCGTGTCCGAATATACTTTATGCATACGCCACGCACAAGATGTACGACCTCCTCCTTCCCGCCCGTGCCGATCGAAAACTTCCTCTTTCCTTTTTTTTCCCTTCCTTTCTTTAAATGGTTATTGCGCCCGGCGGCCACTTTTCTCCCACCTTCCCGGCTGAAGCGGGGGCGCGCCTTTCGGCCGCGCGCGCAAACTCAATCCCCCTGCGGAAGTGGGTGAAATTCCCGGGTTACGCGGGTGTCGCGCGTTAAAAAAGTCGACTTTTAACGTCGGACATAAAAGAGCTTGGGCCCGTTTTAAAGGTTAAGACCTCGAAACTGGGAACGGAACGGACATAAACTGCGAAACTAGAAATTTTCCAGTCGTATTTTACGACGATAAAGCTTAGTTGGGGAGGCGGAAGTCCGACGGGCCACCCGCCGCACTCCGTACTTCCTCCCGGATGGAGGAGCAAAGATTCTTTTTACGCCGCCCAGCTACCGGACTTTTCTTTTCCGGGGGGCGGAAAGTTTGCCGGGGCCGCGTGCCCGGAGACGCGCTTGCGTGTAAGAATTCCAACGTCACACAAAGGAAGGGGGAGGCCGGTGCGGAACGTGCCGGCTCGAAGCAATCGCATTACGAACGGCTGACGTTGGAGCTTTTGCCGAGCGGCCGTTTGAAGCGTTAGTGCCGGTCACAGCTGTAGCTAAATACCCGACAGAAAGGAATCGAGAAGTGCAGCTGTTACCGTACTCTAAATGCTAGAGTGTGTACACGTGCGATGCGGCTTTCGATGGTATCGGTGCAGAAGCCACCCTTTTCCCTACCTTTCCGCGCTTTTCGTCTAATTAACCCTCTGGGAATTTCGGAGGGTCGGCCGCCGCCGTCCGGCGCTTCCCGAAATACCCCGACCGACCTTCCACTATTTCCCTCTTCCTCCCCACCTACATTTTTCGGCCCGGCCCGGTCGTTCCCGTGCCCCTTCCGCCGTCCATGCCGCCGATTCGGGAGCGAAAAGCAGCGCCCGACGGGCGAAATCGTGCTCGAACCCGGTATCCCCCGCCGGAAACGTTTAATCCGCGGATCGATCGGATACCTCCGGTTGTCTGCCTCGGCACTCGGCCGGCGTAACGTGTGCCAAAGGGTGTATAAGTCATCAGTAATACATTAGGGTTTACGTAAATGATGTCAGATACACGCGCGGACGTAATTTCGTATTTTACAGCCGAGCAAATAAAAAAATAGGCGAGAAGGTATAGT